TAACAAAATTAACAATTCGTCTAACTCTCGCATGCTCTATAAAACATTTTCCTCGCTCCTTTGTCCTCCTCCTCCCCCTCTTGCATCAACTCTAATAGCTGACGACTTTGCAATGTTTTTCATTAATAAAATTAAAAACATCAGTGCACAATTTTCCACACTGCAATCTGTCAAGCACATCTTACCAGCAAACATACACACATCCTTCTCTTCACTCTCTGAGACAGAAGTCTCCAAACTCATCCTTTCTAATCATCCTACTACTTGTCCTGGAGGGGTGAGGTGTCCAAGTCGCAACATCTAACTACTGGGGTGCCTCAGGGCTCAGTTCTTGGACCACTTCTCTTCTCTGTCTACATGGCATCATTAGGTTCTGTCATTCAGGAACATGGCTTTTCATATCACTGCTATACTGATGACACAACTCTACCTATCACTCCATCCTGATGATCCGACGAAAGCTGCTCGCATCTCAGCTTGTCTAACAGACATTTCTTGCTAGATGAAGGACCATCACCTTCAACTCAAACTGGCCAAGACAGAACTGCTTGTGGTTACAGCAAACCCATCGTTTCATCACAATTTCACCATCCAGTTAGGCACATCAACCATAACTGAACGTGACGTAATTTTGGTCTAGAATCGAAGTACTACATGTCTGCCATCAAGTGGTAGGGAATACAAATGAGATATTACACCCTATTGGGAACTGCAGTCTATTTTATTAATAAGTATGACGTCTTGTCGCAGTTTTACTCCTGGTGGAATGACCTGCCCAACTCAATCCGAGCAGCTGAATCCTTAGCCAACTTCAAGAAACGGCTTGTAAATGTAATGTAAATGTAAATGTAGTCTGAGTGACAGTAATCTGTCAGACAGACTTACTCAGATGAGTGCTGACTGGAGCAACATCACGGTCTCACACTGAGAGACCTTAATGCCATTCAATGAGATCACCGTGGTGATTTGTTGCTAAGCAGTCACAGGGCTTCCTGCGTCAACATGGCTACACTTAAAGTAGAGCTCACTGGCCTGGTAACCCACGTAAAGCCAATCCTACCCTAAACATGCATTTCCTGTGCCTTTACAAAGATGTTTTTTAGTATTAAATATAAATATTATTATGTTTTGTTTGTGCCTGTTTAAGCCCTGCAAAGTTTGATCCATTGAATTGAAGATTATTTTTTTTATTTAAATACTCATGTTTTATTTACTATTATTACACGTTTCTCTGAAATACTTGATTCTGATTGGTCATTTGCAACAATGTTGTTATCTGTCCCCGATTACAACACTGAATAAGATATCGCTCATCCGGGTATTTCTTTCACATCTCTCATGTCACACCACCACACTCTCTCTAGTTTTATTCAAATGCAACTGCTATCATCTTGCACTTCAGTAATTGACTGTATTTACTGTAAAATTAAACCAGAGGACTTCAATATTAATAGTAGGCATGCGGTAGTAGTTGAAGTTTGTCTTGTTGCCAGAACGATTGTTTTGTATATTGTACTGGCTTTGTACGGTGACCCAGTAGTGCACAACACAACAAAATCGACACAACACAATGCATAGGACTAATTTTGTTGTGTTGTGGCTTGTTTCTGTTGTTGTGCTAATTTCGTTGTGTTGTGGCTTGTTTCCGTTGTGTTGTGCTAATTTCATTGCGTTGTGACTTGTTACCGTTGTGTTGTGACTTGTTTCCGTTGCGTTGTGACTTGTTTCCTTGTGTTGTGGCTAATTTTATTGTGTTGTGGCTTGTTTCTGTTGTGTTGTGGATTTCATTGTGTTGTGCACTACTGGTCCACCATTAGTCTCACATAGCCAGACTTTCAGACTGACGGCAGAAGGTCTGGGAACCTTGGCCGCTTTGAATGGTCAAGGCCTGCCAAAGAGGCCATAAGACTGATAGGTAAAGCATCCAGTCACGTTTAGTTTTGTGCTGTGTGATGTTTATGGGCATGGAAATGTCCCCACAATAACAGACCGGTGTTTAAAACTCTTGGACGCGTTTTAAAAAGTCTGTGGCACAAACTTTACATATTTGACATACTTTAGAAAATCTAGCGTTTAGTTCATCCCGACTCACTGTCTCACTATCACAGTTGTAAACACGACAGCTTTGTTCTTCAATGAGGGGGTTTGGCGCCGCGGTATCTTTGTTTCCAGGCGGAACGTTAAATAACGCGACATGCACATTTCCCAGAAATTCTGTAGAAATTCAACCAATCTGATGACGACTTCAAAACTTCTGGAATGTGTGCTGTATGCATCAGACCTTCAGCCAATGGTCCATGGGCATGACGTCTGAGGCTAAGACTAGGTCACCGTAGCTTTGAGATAATAAACCGGTAATGTTTTAAAATGCAATTCATATCAATATTTAATGTGTATTGATTTACTTATGTGCCAAGTAGCCGTGTAATAAGTGGGATAACTTGCATCCAGCCAGGTGTTGTCACAGAATAAACCCCTGAAGGGTGATGCTAACCCTGCAATAACAACTGGCTGGATGTACATTTATTGTCCTTTATATATTTTTCCTTTATATTGTAAAACCCTTCTAGGGCTGGCTAAAAATATCAAACTTTATTTTGAATGATTTGATGATCAAATATTTTTCTTTGTAATTAATTATTTTATTTATTTTATTTTTTTTTTTTTTTACAGTTGATGCATCTTGTACTAGTGTATCTCCTGTTCTGCTGATGTTACAGAGTTGGTGCCGAATTCTAGCAGCGACCCTGCACACAGACACACTATCCACCGCCTCTGTCACTCATTGTATCAGTGTTATGGGCTTGCACTATACAAATGGGAAAGAATGTTCTAAATTCCATGACTGTGTGCCCCTCTCACTGAAATGAAATTGTCCTTGTGAGTAAACTTTTCCAGGCAGTTCTGTGCACTTTTTCCAAAGCCCAGTGCTATACAGTACAGTTTTGTCAAGTTAACCAAGTCAGTTTGGTTGTATAATATATTCTCTAAATGTATATTATACTGTTTGATCTCAACCCTCTACGGACACCTTGGCAATTGAATCGCCATTGGCTAGTAATTTTTTTAGTTTACTCGCCAGACTG